CATGGCAAGTGGTAAGTCAGTGTAGCGTTTAGTCTTTCAATGATTGAGGTTCGATCCCAGCTACACAGGTTTACATTATTGCTGTCATCCATTCTTCCATTCATTTGTTCATTTATTTTCTCATTCATTCACTCGTTCTGCAAATAGAGATAAACAACCTTTTACACTAACATTCTTATCTGTATCTTAAACAATTGCCTTACTAATTCCCCAACTTCCAAAGTTTGTTGGCCCTTAGGTGCAGTGGCAGCATATTTCTGCACCATTTACTTGCTTGCTGACAGGAAAATATTGCAGCACTGCCATCTTCTGAGCAGATGTTCTTAAGAGTAATATAATGGCGACTACTTCAATCATGTTGACACATACTAAAGCTGATTTAGCACTCCAATTAGAGTGTGTTGTCTTTATGCTACAAAGTCAAAGTTTTTCATCATAGTCCTTCCATTGTTGGTCCCAGTCTGGGGACATTTTTGAGGGTCCCACATGGGCTGCATCTGATGTAAAATCCTATCCCACAAAAGTCACAAACAGCTAATTGTTTCACGGTGGTGTCTCTCAAAGAGGCTGAAACAATTTTTAAAAAAGTATGAATGTAAATCTTGAATAGAGCAGAAAACGTGTATTTGATCATTACTGTGTTGTGTTATAGTACAACATGAACGTTTTCTGCTGCTTCAGTGTCCAAATGTGTTCAGTGTGTGCCAACTGAACTGGCTACAGTTCCTGTTTCCCCACGTCTCAGTTCATCAACTGAGGAGATTTACTCTATGGACAAGGAGGAGGCCAACAACAATAATGAATAGAGTCTTGTTGCTGCGACTCCCGAGTGTATATGTGCTCTTCAGTGCATGTTTCTCACACTTCTGAATAGAATTAGTGGCAGCTGTTGGTTAAGACAAGGAGCTGGTGGAGCTTATGGAGCTCATAGACCTTTCTGTTTGTCTGCTTATGTGCATGAAGAGAGTTCTCAAGGCAGTTTGTCGCGTTGGATTTTCCGTCTTATTTGTTTCTCTCAATTGCACGTCCTGGTGTTGAAGTAGCAATTCAAACACACTCATGATGCAACAGTGATAAATCACTACTCTGCTAATCTGGAGCAGAACAGCTGCAGAAGAGGAGAGCACAGACTCACGTCTATGTGCTGAGTTCTGTCACTCTTGTCAAACACACACTTATATATTTGTCCATATATATGTATATGAATTGCTAATGTTTTCCTCCAATGAAATGATGATTTCAGCAGTGGTCCTCAGCTCATTTGAGTTTGAGGCCCCTGGAATGGAGCATGCACAAATCTATGTGAAGTCCTCCAAAACACAAAGAAATCTGTGTGTGTGTGTGTGTGCGCGCGCGCACGTGTGTGTGTAAAAACACATATGATTCAGTATTGGTAAAGAGACAGGAGGAGAGTGAGGAGCAGCTCTGAACTCTAGTTCTTCTCTGCATTCGAGTGAAGTGTGAGTCGCTGCGTCTGCTGCAGTCAGTGGAGGGTTTTGCTGAGTCAGAGTGTGAGTTTGTGCAGTGCGGTAAGTGGGCTCAGTGCTGCCACTCCCTGGTAGACTGTGAAACCTGCTCGGAGAATGTCATTAATCACAGGCATCAAACGTATCTGTCCCACAGTCTCTTCCTTTGGCGTGTGTGTCTGCTATATTTGTTCTTATTGTGAAGATTTTTCATCATGAACTTTCTCTTCTGCTTCACTTTAAAGTTAATGTTCAGATGAACTGCGCTGATAATTCAGATGATTTGAAACACAAATTTTGAGGAATTGTGTACACTGGCAACAAGGCAGTTTATTTTACATAATATAATATACAGTCTGACGAAAATATTTCTTTAATGGACATACTTCAAATATATCTTAAAAGCCTTGACCTTTAATTTTTGACAGATACTATTTTTCTGTCTTTCATTTTTCCCCAAGAAACTCTACAACTCAACTGGACGTGAACTCCGAAGAGCTCTCTTTTCTCTCAAGCAGATTTTTCAGGTACTTTTTTGTTATTATTGTTGCACCGTACAATACTGTTTTTATGTTTTTTAAAATATCCATGGTTCTTGTGTAATATCCCAGTCCTCGCTCCATTTCAGTGTCCATTAAAAGCATAATGGCATCTTTAAGTTTCAGTATATGGTGTCGATACAAATAGATCCAGATGGTTCCATTAGTGGAGATTGTTTTTACTGAAAGCTCTACTTGTGGCAGAGATGCACAATTTCCTGTAGCACAATGGGCACAAATTATAATACAAATATACTGCATGTACTTTATAGTTTTGACATTTGGCCTTGAGGATTTTAGTTGTAACAAATGTTGAAAAATCCTTTGGTGTAAAAACAAAAGTTCTCACAAACATGGAGTCAGCAGTACTTCTCGTAGGTATTTATACACACAGTACATGTGTGGGTCTCCTTGTCATTCTGTTACTTTACTGCTCCTGTGTATTTTGCCAAGTGGCTGCAGTCTCCATCACAGGTGAAGCCGATCTGGAAGCACTTACAGTACAGAACGCCTCCTCCCCAGGGTAAATGACCTCTGTCCACCTCACAGCATGTGTGGCTGTTTTCCTCCGTCTCCCACCTGGAGGGTAGAATTATTAGACAGGCTAAATCTTTAAAATGACCAAATAACAGACAGGTGTGTGACTTACAGGTGGTTTTCTCATTGACAAAGACCAAGGGGAACTCCAAGTGATAGAAGTCTCTTTGACAAAGCTGCAGGCCGATGGCGGCCATCACTGTATTTGCAGTTGACATTATTTCTTACATGATAAACACCTTTTCACCTTAAAAGTTGTTGAGGTCTTCAAAAGGGGGGTCCCGGTCCTCTCAGGGCTCCTGTAGCATGGTCTTAAAATGTAAATCAGTGGGGTTTTCTTGCTACTAAACATTTATATGTATAGTAGCACATGTCACTGCCAACATCAGTACTGCACTTGTTGGCCTATTTTATTTGTGATTAAACTCATCCGTAACAATGTTGGTATTTTTGTCTTGGTCAATACATCTGCACCAATCTGTGTTTCACAGTGGTTAGTACTAATGAAGCCCATATTGTATTGGGTTCAAGAATGGGATAAAACTATAAAACTGAACTCCCTCCAGTTGAAGGAAAGTAAAGTGAGTATTTGTGTGCGCTCTTAAAGAACAGATATTTGAGTTATTTCAAAGCAAACCCTTTTGTTCTTGTGAGTCTCGTGAGGAGCCAGCTGAAGAGTCAAACACACATGTGGGTCTTTCAGCAGGGTCCATGTGGGCCTCACATGAATATTAGCATATATGCCCTCTTAAAACCGATGTCTGCTTTGTTCTCTGACCCACATGGATGTACAAGCTGAGAGCAAAAAAAAAAAAAAAAGAATTGGCAGTTCCAGAAAGAACGTCGAACCAACAGAGTCGCAAATATATAGTTTCTAACTTTGCATTTAGTTTTTGATTTGTGATGGATTTAAATATTTGCTTTTCTACTCGTCTTCTTTCCAGGATGACAAAGACCTGGTGCACGAGTTCGTGGTTGCCGAAGGACTGACATGTTTGATCAAGGTTGGAGCAGAAGCCGATCAGAACTACCAGAACTACATCCTCAGGGGTACGTCCAGAGCAGCTCTGCTTCACATCCATTAAAACAGCATGCTCTCTTCAGCTCTACTTTCTCACACCTCAGTTTACAGCTCCGGCTAATGGAGGATGTTATTAATCAGTCCTGCACTGGGCTGATCCTTCCATAAACCTATCCAGAACCACATGTGTTTACATGCGCCATGTAAATTGATGATTGTGCTGGATGACCACCTCACACTCACACACTTACGGAGTATAAACAAACCTAAAATGTGTGTCCCAGATAATCTGGAAGTTGGGCCAAGTTGGCTAATTTATTAGCCCCATGTCATGAAGGTGAAAGATCATGTGCGCTGAGGTCACGAAGGGGCAGCACGTCTGGTGGTACTAGAGGGCAACGGCACTCCAAGGTCACTGCCACTTAACGGCCTGTCGTAAGGGCCAAGTTTACACACTTAAGAAGCTAATAAAGTTTTCTGGCAGGATATTGCAGATCATAAACCAAATCCCCTCCTCTCCTTCTCCTTGTTATCTTTATCTCTGTGTGCTCTCCCTTGCGTTTTCATGGAAATTTCACTTTTGCGCTTCACCTTGAGCAAGTACATTGGTATGTTGTGTTTTAGCTACGGAACGCAGATCGTAAATAAGAAGGGCCTGTTGCAAAAGTAAAGTCTCCCCGAGGACACCAGGGGGTGCTCAGCTGGTGTCGGAAGAGAGTCCATATGAATGCAAGAGTGTGGGA